AACTGTATACCTAACACGCATTGGACCTTTTTACACCCGGTAAGAGATGGTAGAAAACAGAAAAGAGTTGAAACTCAAGCGGTTATTCGGGTATTCTAATGGTAATAATTATGCTTTGAAAGGTATGGGAAAATTAATTGTCCAGTTCGTAATCGTAATCACTCCTTTTGACGTTTTAGACTGTTGTTAATTTAAAAATTTGGTAGGCCTATCGTTCAAAATTCAAATTCGATGTAAACCCATAGATGAAGTAATATTTATTCTATGCCAAAACTATTTGTGCGGCCTACTCTATCTAGAATGAAGAATAACAACATGCTAATGGCTTTAAAGACTAAATTAAGACCTCTAAATTTTGTTAGCATTCTACAAAATATACAAAAATCGCAAATTTATAGGTTTTCCTAATGAAAGCTTTGGTTCACAAGTTAACCACGCCGCAGACATACAAAATTAATTCTCAATGCAACGGATCGTGTCGAATAAGTGGATTTGACAAGTTATCAGCTGTTGTGTTAGCATCTGTTGGATTTGATCAGCTGATTCTTTGTGAGTCATCCATGCCGCCACGACCCCTGCCCCTTCCGATGATTATATTAATTTTATGGGTGACCCTGTCTCTTGGTTTACTGTGTAGTTTAGATTGCGTTCGATATATTCATTGAAAACTTAAAGAAAATATCCTTAGATTTCAAACCAAACCGCTATAAAACCGTTGTAAGTACTTTCCGGTTTCAAATCACTTGCAATGTAATCCACATGACTCTTTATTCTGTGCTTACAAGTGCAGTTAAATTGTACCATAGTAATTATATGAAATTTACTACTTTTACTGATTTGCAAATGAGTATAAACTGACTAAAACCTAAGATTCCATCAAACAATTTCCTTTCTATTTTTTCAACATATTTTTTTCATTTCAAAACGTTTCCAAAAAATCATATATTTTAATAAAACAACTTTTATGACAATCTAAGACACTGCTATATAATATAATTATATATAACACAAATGTTTATTCTAACAGGATTTTTACTGCAAGCTTTACATCCTGAGGATTTAATATTGTACTCATTAAATTTCATATTCATCGACGATTCAAATTCAGCGAAAACAATTAGTTTCACAATAAAGAACTAAAAAACTTTGTTCTAGTTAAATTTTAATTCATGATCAAATGGTAAAATTACGTAACGGAAAAATGTATCATGCAATTTCATAAATTCCACGAAAGCATTGTTTAGTCAGGTGTGCAACAGCACTGTCGGTCTATTTCATACACCACCGTTTTATAGCAGTATTCCACAACATTTCTTTGTGAGTAAATTATTCCAAATTGGGCTTGCCACAAGGCAATTCCAAATGTCAAGGAAAGACCATAATTTCGGGGTTTAAGTTAAGAAATTCGTGAAAATCTGAGTGTTTATAGGCTGCTACTCATACACTATTACAAAGTAAGTGATTACACACAAGATTTGTAAGAGAAGACACATTTTTATTATAGTGGTGTAGTAGGTATTTAATTCACCGTGAGAACGCTGATGATGAAAATTAAATGCACATTCTAATGCACTCTGGCTGAAGCATGGCAGATATTTAATGTATAAAATAAAAATACCCCCGTCGCAGCAAACCTGCATACTAAGCGAATTTCCATTTACCCGGCTTGATTTCTTTTAAAATATTCCCTATAAATTTTCAGATTTATTTCCTATTTAAATAACATTAATTTTAGTGAGTAGTTAGGTTTGCTGCTACGGGGAAGATGTTGAGGTGTGTTTTTTCAATTGAAATATTGATAGCTTAGTATGAAATAAACCAAATTGCCAAATTTGATTAAAATATATCCATAAACAAGCAAACTACAACAGTTTATTTATTCTCCATAAGAATAACATGGGAATTTTAAATTTACAATTTTTTTAATTTTCTCCGTAGTCAATGAACATTCAAAAACACTTCAATATACTAAATTATTTGTTTTTTTAAGCTCTTCAAAATGGTCTAGAGAGAAATTTAGAAATTTGAAGTTTTTAGGGTCAAAAATGAGAAAAACCCATTTTTACCCCATAAAACCCCCCATAAACCCCTGATCCCATGGTCCGATTATGCTGGTTCGCGAACTCGTTCGAATAAATGTAGATTTACACGTTTGTACCAAATTTCATCAAAATCGGATCAATTTTGCTCGAGTTATCGCGCTAACGGACACATATATAAATATATATATATATATGAATTTGAACGGATGGTGTTTTTGGCCTCTGGGGACCTCAAAACGAAAAAGTAAATCGGTCCCGGGTCTAGGTCTTACCATGAGACCTACGGTAATAGCTTATTCCCTATATGGGAAATTCGCTAATACAATAGGCACCGAATCATAATTTGTTTCGTAGTCCTATACAATCAATTAATTGTCTGTATAGTTTGTTTTCCTCAAAATTTGATGGTTTTCCATTTCTGTTTCAATAAAATTGCTAGGGGTTTGAGATCTTAGGGTGATAACTATATTTAACACTTCAATTTTATTGGTAACTGATAGTACAAATTGGCATAAACAAATTTAATTCTTTATAAATGAAACATGATTTGATTTTGAGAAATAACTGTACGGTTTGTTTTGTAATTTTGTTAACTATTAAGGAATTGTGACATATCGAATGTTTATTTGTAGGCCTACTGCATTTGTTAGTTTGGTTTAAACAATTGAGTACGATAAACATAAGAAGGCACAGCGAATAAATTAGTTAAATATTGCGAAAAAATATTTGGTATAAGTGTAAAATATATCAAACACTTTTATGTGCTCGAGGAAATTAAATTACCTTTTCACCTCTAAATAAGTAAATTCACAATTAATTGTTCTGAGAGTCTGGCCCTTGTTTATATCGACAGCCTTGTTAAACATGTGAGAAAGTTACAATAGTTGATTAATTGCTCTCGTGAGAATTTCCTATTTCCCACATTGTAACATTGACACGACGCATCATATGATCATGTGGAGGCAGTCAGCTGTTTGGAGTGATCAGGTGGTTCCAAGGTCGACTGATAACCTTGCAGGGTCGACGGGATAACCTAAACTGCAGACTTGCGATCGCAATGTTTACAGATACACAAGTGTTTGACATTGAGGCGCGATGGAATCGATCAACTAAGTGTTATATCTTCATTGTCATTTTTTGCAGTCGTCATCATGTTTGTATACATGTCAACACTTGGAAATATTTTTTAGTTATCTATTGTTAAAAAGTAAATGGTTTTAAAATCAATAATAATAATCAAGATGAATAATAAAGAAATAATCAAATAATTAAGATGTCTGATGTCTCATCGAAAAATTACTGTTTTCTACAAACAAAAAGCACTACAATCTTTTTCTACAAATAAATACCAAATTAAAATGTTTACCCATGGGAAATAATTGTAAGTTTAAAATATCATTAGGCTACTGTACTCTATGATTTAAGAAATATTAAAGGTCAAGTTTTAAAATAGGTTAGACACATTGAAAACAACATTGTTACCGCATTCACGACAGTTTCTTATAACAAACCCAAGTTGACATCATGAAATACCAATGCATGTCAAGACGATTTCAATCAGTGCTTTAGATTAAAATCTATATTTCCTCTTTCATATAGTATGGATGGGAACTTAGGGAAATTTGATGTTAGTATTTGTGTGGTTGGTACACCTACACGAGTCCTGTATCCGCTTGTCACGTCTTATGCAAGTGTTGTGATTGCGACCTTTCAAGGTCGTTGACTTGACTGACCTCTAATTCCAACTCCGCTTGGTTCTCACAGTTATGACTTTATTGAACAACCGTGTGTTTTGAAAAGTGAAATCGCAATAATGTTTCTTTTGTGTGTTTTCACTTTTGCAAGGTACTTTAGGAAACTTCTTCTCTTTTTACATATTTCTCTAAAGTAAGATGACAATTTGTTGATATAGTAAAAGTTACATAATTTATAGTACTTTTTTCACACACTTAACAATTTTATAAGTCTATTGAATACATAATTTTTTATCAGCTATATCGTTATACCTGTATGCTGGATATAGCAAAATTACATACAAGGCTTTACAAATATAATTGTTCTGAAAACCGATTAAACTCATTTAAAAAAATCAGGAATTTCCGAGATAACATTTTCTGCCCCCTTTACCACCAAGAATTCCAGATATCACTAATGATGTATTCGATCTCTCAGAGTTTGATTCATATTCATCGGGTTTTGTTTTCCTCTGGGTCTAAAAATCTAGCACAGTTAACAGAAAAAAATAATGATACTGTATTTTGGAAAACCTTTCACATCATCAGTCTGCTGGAAGGGTTAAAAATCCTACTAACCACCTAGTATAAAACCTTAGTTTTATCCTAACAAAACTTGACATTCTATTCCCATATTAGAGCTATAAAGCCAATTTCATAACAATCATGTATGTTGTTGAACTGAGTCACAAACAGGTGATGTCCATTACTGATTTCCATTGAATTCGCCAACGTATTAATAAAGTCAAGCTGTAAAAAACCACTAAATTATTAATTATCAATAAATAGTTTATTGTAGGAACACCATAACCAACATTTTTCGCAGTTGTGGGATTTCTACACTAAACGATGTATTTCAATTTGTTCATCATTAATATACTAAAAAGTCAACAATAAAAAGAATGTTGGTTATGGGGTTTCTGCAATAAACGATTCTTATGAATAAACTAACTAGTTATGGATTAACTACATAAATAACTTTCAAAGTGCAGTAGCTAATTAAGGCAGAATATAATATTTTATACTGTATAACAATCTGTGAGTGTCTTAAAAAAAAAAAAAATCTCAGCGATGATACCCAAACAAAGAAATACATGTAGAACATATTAGCAAATTGTAAAGCTTTTATTCTTGTGAAAATAAAAAACAAATTTTACAATAAGTTTAAATGAACAAAGTTATATATATTTTGCACAGTTAAAATGGATGAATTTCATTATTGCAGATGCTGAGGCAGCCGTGCTGATGACATGGACGTTGCTGAGCAGACATGATGGCTCGTCTGCTGGACGATGTTGCCCCCGTCAGTGGAGGCAACTCAGTCCCCACCGCAGTAGACGGGGACGCGGGGGCTGTAGAGTGTAAACAACCTGCTCGTAAACTCAGCTTCAAAACACGCCAGGCAGCTGCTCGCAGCAACTACAGGACCGCTAAGGTGAAAAACAAAGCAAAAAAGTTAAATAAGGCAATTAATTTTGTTTCCTAATTCAATGCCAACTTGGATTTGTAAACTTGTACCTTGAACCATTGTACTAACCTAAATAAGTTTTATGAAAAGTAAATGAAAAATATAATGCAATATGTTTTGTAAATGGTCGGCCAGTTGTGTTTCAATTTGCAAAGTATCTGCACATCACTTTGCCTCCAAAAGGTCATAAAATGAAGAAAATCACTCAGTATTAATTACACAATTTCTTAAGATTGGATAGTTGGCTAGGAGTTGAGGATTCTAATGATATTTTTTTTTAATCTTTAATGTTTTTCTCCCTCTCTTCTAGAAAACATTTAAGTTACAGCTTCATAGAAAATTGTTTTTAAAAGAAAACATCAATAATGCAAACTGTTCACCTAACTTAAATAATCCACCTTTCTACTTTACTTCCAAATAATCATAAGTGTTGGCTAATGATGAGAAAGAGATATAAAGGGATAGAAAAAATAAACCAATTTTTTTATTCACTACAAATACAGTTTGGCATTTCTCAAACGAAACAATTTGATACCATCATTCAATCACATTCTGTATATAAATTACCAACAATTAAATAAAAAAAATAATTCAATTTTTTAATGTTTGCTTTGAGTTTGGGTGATCAGAATTCAACATCTATTTGTATTTTTCAGGTTTCCCTGTCTTCGACCAATGTTGCACTGTTGGCCTCAAAGTTCAACACCATCGTGATCGAGGACGGAGTTCAAGGAAGAGCTTTGCTAAGGAAACTGAGTACTAACCAACGTAAGCCTTCAGTCAACAAGGAAACGAAGAGACCTGTGAAGGTGAAGGCAGAAGGAATGGTCAAAGCAGCCATCGAGATCTTCGAGCACCAAGAAGAACTTTCAAGTAAATCTATGCCTAGGAAGGGAAACGACTCAAGACCTAAGCTTGTCGTTGTGAGAAAAACAAGCAAACATTCCACTAAGCAGGAAGAACACCCGAAACCAACTGTTTTTAGAGAATCAGCTGTAGTTGAAGAAGCCAAAGAAAGAAAGGATCTCAAAATTGAGGCTGTCGCTAACACAACAGAGAGGAAGGAGGTTAGAAGAAAACCAAGCTTGAAAGCAAAGCCTGTGTTGAGAGATAGTGTGACTAATAGACGACCTTCCAAATCTCTAAATCAAAGAATAGCAAGGTTTAATAGTACGGAAGATGTTGCAAATAATCCTAATGAAACAGTACAAAACAAAGAGGCAAGGAAACCTAAATTTGACATGAATGAGAGAATCGCTCAATTCAGCAGAACTGAAAGTAGTAAATCAATAACAACTGGTGATAAAAGTATACTGAAACGCAAAGAGAGTAATGAAGACACCAGGAAATCGGTGACTTTTGAAGTTGATGAAAAAGAAAACAAACAAGAAGTAACTAAATCATTATTAAGAAACAGTTTAAATAAGCAAGCGAGTTTAGTCGAGCAAACTAAAAATAGGCTGGCATCTATAATTCAACAAAATAATGACACCAATCAACAGACCAGGCCTAAATCTATAATAAGATGTGTAAATAAAGAAGTCATCAACAAGTACAAATCAATCTTAGAGGAAAATAAAGACCAACAAGTTTTTCAGAGCATGCCTGATATTGTGAGATCTGTTGAAGGTAAAGACGAAGGGAACAACAAAAAACTCTCATTTCCTAAAGATGCTACAATCTTGGAGAATGTTTTTGTAAATAATAATATTAATGTAAATAGTGTAAGGGATTGTAGTGATAATATCTGTGAGTTTTCAGCCAAAGCCAACGTAACTTTAAGCCCAGACCACTCTGATTGTTTAACTATTATACAAACTGGCAAAGACACAACTGATTCTGAAACAATTCAATCTTCGCCGTCCAAAAATTTAAAAGCATCCATGATACCAATTACATCTGAAAGTCCTAAACTTGAAAAGAAGTCTCTATGCGTTGCAACAGACCCTGTTGAATCCATTCAACTTGATAAAATCAAACCTAACAGTTCTTTTTTGTGGAAGCCATCAACCAAAATAAGTGTTATAACTGAGGTGCCCATCTATGACGATAGACCAGAGATGAACTATGATGACAATGTCTTTGATGACGACTGCTCAAAATATAATACAAATAATGAGGAAAAATCAGTATCAGAAAATGAAGGGAAAAATACAAACTCTTTGGAACTGGACATAGCAAGCAGTTTTATTCTAGAAATGACAGAGCAAATTGACAGGCGCTTTAGTAGTGGATCAACCCAGGAAAATGAGTTACACGAAACAGACAATCAACAATCAATAAATGAAGTAAACACAAATTTAATGAAAAACACTTCTTTCTTGCATGGAAGTTCCAACAACAGGGAATATATTACATCCAATAAGCCTAAACAAAAACCTTTACCACTAATACCTTACGTGAATCACAATCAATTTTCATCAAGAACCTCAAACACTCTACCACTTCCTCCAAAGAATCTATCTATTGATTCTCCACCCCAATTACCAGAAAAGAAACCCAAAACTTCAATAGATGGAATTGATTCAAATGCCCCTGCGATTCCACCACCGCATACAAAACCAACAGTAACTCGCACACCATCACAGGAAGCTTGGCTGAGTAAATGTAAGCAGATTTTAGAAATACCTCCGCCCTTACGAAGCCGAGAAGGTTCTCGTGAAGAACTTATTTCAAGTTCACAATCTTTAACAGTCTCAATAAGTGAGCAACAAAGGAGTCTCGGTGATAAAAGGTTTTCTGTATCGCAAATTGAACTGCAGAGACGAATTAGTGAAATGAACTTATCTAACAAAAGAAACAGTTTGCCCTCTAGTAGGTTTATTCCTACCAGTTACACTGTGTCTGAGGATCATTACTCATCCATACAAAACTTGAAGAATGATGTGGAGGATCAAGGTGCTTATGAATCTGTAAGTATGTGTTTTAAAGTAACAAACTTAAAGATTTGTTGATCAATCCTTGAAGATCTAGATCATGTTATATATTTTGTTCTAATCTGATGTTCATCAGATTGTAGTTTGCTATAAGGCAATGTGAATTTGTATTTTCAAACAATGAATTAATTGGTTGCCTGTACGGTTTTGAAATTACAATGAAGAATCTACTTATTTGCTACCTATATTTTGGTCACCGTAACACAAATGTCTGTTTGATTTTAAGAGGAAAATCACTTTTTAACAATTTAAAACTGGTCTTAGTTGGTCTTCAAATCTTGCTCAAGATTGCTGTTTCAACTCCAATCGTGATTGATGCTGGACCAAAATTAATACCTTTTATCATTGGGTATAGGTCCATAAATAGTTACATACCCGGATTGGACCGTTTGCTTAACATTAAAAATTATCTTAAGAGTCCTTATCAATCCTGGCTTGCCTATATGGCTTATACCTTAAAAATTACTTCAATTCTTCTAGAAAACCACACAGGCCAATAAGTCTTTGACTGCAGAAATCCTCACCTAAATAACTGTAATTTTGAAACAGTGTGAAGTAAAATTGCAGTAACGGTTTAAAACTAAACTCACGTGTTGCCTGACACCACAGCACTATTAATTTAACTTTTGCTTCTTCCAGATCGGCGAGAACAACTACGCAGAGATAGAAGAAACAGAGACTCTAGTGGTCAGGAGAGAGGAGGTGGACTCAGCCAGTAATATCTACGATGATGTCGGAGAAGTAGAGATGGAGGATCATTACGAGGCTATCAATTGTCCTCTCGTAGCGGCTCAAGACTCGGACAGTTCATGTGACCAGAGCAACAGTCTGTACGGGCTCACCAGACCAGCCAGCCAAGGTAATGACAGAAACATGACAAGTAGGCCTACTGTATTTTTATTTAAGTAGATTGTGCTAGGGTTGAGTGGAAATCTCCACATACCAACCATATAACGATAGAAACTATAATGAATTAGTAACTCTTAGGCCCATTTTACGTGAGCTGAAACCCACAACGTGATTCCCGCGTGAACGCAAAATCTTGTTCAAACTACACGTGTTGGGATCCCCGTTGCGTGGACGTGGGATGGGCGCAGTGGAACTCTGTGTTTTATAGCTGAAGTTGTCCGACTCAAGCTATTAATTTAGACCAAGTTATCCTTTTGTTTATTCACATTGCTTAGAAATATAGATTACTTTAACTTCGGTATATACAAAACCGCTTATCTCCGATGAAAATTGCAATTTTAATTCTAAAGAACATTTTCTGGTTGTCATATTGTAATTTTGTTGTATTTAGTTTGGCATTAAAAATGAATATCTATTGTAAGTAATGTTAATAAATTAAATGTACTTTATGTCAAACACATTACTTAAGTTACTAGCTGAAGGTGACCAATTATTTTTATAGTTAAAATAAAAATACCTTTGACTAAAGGAATACAAAATGTATAACATATGAAAACTTATTTAATGCTACATTTATGCTCAAACATTACACCGCACTGTGTTGGACAAACTTAAACGCAACTGAACAATATTATGTGAGCTTCCGCGCGCGTTGATACTGCGTCGTGGATCCCGCTTGTGTAGACACGCCTATTTAAAACATGGTCGCTGTCGAGCGTGTGGTCCCGATGTGGGAATCCCGTCACGGGTTTCACGCACGTGTGGATTGGGCCATAGACCAGTTAGTATAGTGAAGTTTATAAAAAACTTAAGAAGAAATACATTTTCACCGGATACATATCATTTTACATTTTTATGGCGTTGGTTGACTCGATAAGATGTATTTGTATAGTCAGATAGTCCTCCCATAAAAATATGGTCATCAGTGGTGATGATTTAATTATTTAGGGAAGATATTGCTAACAAAGTTCTTTCTTTGATCTGTGTAAGCAAATGTGCAAGTCACCAGGTGTAATGGGAAGCCAAGCGGTGCAGTATAAAGTTGCTTATCAACGAGTATAGTAGAAGAGACAGTTCCGAATTTAAGCAGGGGGCCCCATTGTTTTCTACAAAAAAAATTTTTAGAACAAAAATTGAATTTTTATTTTCTAAAATTAATGGACGTTATGGCATGGTTTGGGGAGAGGATTTCAATGTCCCATGATCGTTGGAGATGTTCACAATTCCACATCATGGGTGGCGATGAATATTATGTTCCTGTAGTTGCAGATGTTTACTGTTTCGCGGCGTTCGCGAGTGGTGATTAAACCATGATAGCCTCCATGATTGCGATGGATGTTCACAATTTTGTCTCAATCGTGGTGAAGTACCACCTAAGGGACAGGGGCCGCTTGAGTTAATTTTCCCTGGGGCCGCAAGTACCCTAAATCCGGTACTGAGAAGAGAGCGATCTGACCAGTAGTACTGGCTGCCAAAAACTTACTGTTTACTGTCCCTGTCTATTGCAATCACATCATTTACAGTGTGGGAACAATTTATGAGTTGAACTTTAAACTGGGGAATAAAACTGGGGAAACCCCAAAACACTGTTTGAAAAAAATAAGCAGAGTAAAGGTGTTCTTCCAAAGAGATCTTTTACCACTACACCATTGCTATACAATTACTTTGTATTAAATTGCATAAATCTTCCCAAAAAGCAGGAGAATTGATAATACTAGTCTCGGTAAGCACCTAAAGGCATAGCCCTCCGAAACCTAGGGTTTGATCTGGTTTCCTTTGTCAGTTCTGGTGTGGCAAAGTAGGCTAAAGATACATACATATTAGACATTTTCAGTGGATACCTCAAATGGAAGTTGACAAGTGGTAAATTTTTCTGAATCACACAACCAATCTTTTTAACTTATTACTTTATGTTTGATTTTGATAAGCACAACCACAGTGAAGCAACAGAGGGTAGCCAATATTTATCTCAGATCAAATCAAATCAAATCAAAATCTCTTTATTCCTGAATAATGTTACATATTGTTAAAATTGTGTATGTACAGGAAAAATAATTCCCAAGTAGACTATCCGTCTGTGTTTGGGAATGAGTTGCTAATGCAGCTATACACAGGTACATAAATATTCAGGAGTACTTAGACAATAATGATGATAGTAAATAAAAAATATATATATAATAACAAGATGAAAAGAAAAAACCTAACTGCATCGAAACATCCAAAATTCAATTTTAGTGATTGTAAGTGGTATATAGCAACGAAGAAAAAAGGGATTATGGTGATGAATGAAGCTACAAAAAATTATGAGTACAACGATTTGAGTAATCCTTCTGATTGCTCCCTGCCGAGATTTAATAGCCAGCTCATGACTCTACGCTTAAACACAGCGACGCTGTCACTCTCCGCCTCTCGTATATGTGAAGGCAAGTTTCGATACAATGTATGACAAACGTAAAAAGGTATAGTTTTAAGGGTAGAATGGGAAAGTCTGGGAAAAGAAAAGCCGAAGTTAATGTTACTTCTAGTCAAATAACGATGTTGAACAGGAGAAAAAACAGAACATTTATTAATTTTTATGAAAATAAGAAGATTTTTTATGAACAATTGGCGAATGTTAAGAACTGGAAAGTCGCAAAACAGTTGCAAGGAAGAAAATCTAGAGTTTTTATTTAAGATAGTTTTTATAACAGATCGTTGAACGACAGAAAGTGGTTCCAGAACAGTGGGAAGGGCACCACCCCAAGCCAGGATACCATACTGCAACACCGACTGCACGTAGGCAAAGTACACGGTCCGTAACTGCTGCTTCGAGAGCACCTCCCGAAGCTGCGTGAATGCGTAAATGAGCTTACGTACTTTGTTTTTGACATATTGAACATGCGGAGCCCAAGTCAATTTACTGTCGATCACAACCCCTAAATACTTATACTGCTCCACACGCTCAATCACTCCACATGCGCAGCCAATCGCGAGTGCATCGCCGCAGCAGTGCAGCTTCAAAGATCTCTCACCAGGTCCAAAGTTATTTCTAAGAAAAATAGGAAGACATTTAGTTTTTCCAACATTGACTGTAAGTGTATTATAATCAAACCAAGATTTTAAATTGTGGAGATCTATCGATGCAGAACCGTACACCTCGTCCCACGTACTGCCGGTGGTCACAACCGCCGTGTCATCAGCGAACAGTATCACCTTGCTATTTAATTTAGCTTTAGATATGTCATTTATGTAAATAGAAAATAAAAGAGGTCCGAGAGTACTGCCTTGAACCACACCATATTCTACCGGTGTTACATCACTCACAACTCCATTTATGGAAACTACTTGTTCCCGAGACTTAAAATAGTTCGCAAACCATCTTAGAGTTGGTCCTTCGATACCTATACATTCTAATTTACTTATTAGCATGTTTCTGTCAATTGAATCAAAGGCTTTGGTAAGATCCAAAAAAGTTATAAGAATTTTTTTGTTTTCACTGAATGATTCAAAGATAAATTTTGTAAGATCGAATAGAGCGTCTGAAGTATTTCTGTCGTTTCGAAAACCATACTGTGAACTAGAAACTATATTTTCTTGATTTAAGTAATTTGACAATTGGATTTTAACACATTTCTCAAGTATTTTGGAAAACACCGTTAGAAGGGAAATAGGCCTATAGTTCGATTTATCAGATTTTGGTCCAGATTTATATAAGGGAATGACTTTAGCTATTTTGAAGATATTCGGAAACTCTCCAGTTTTTAAACTACGACTGATAATATAGTAAAGTGGTTCAATAATACAGGTAATAGATTCCTTTACAAATTTTGCTGAAATATTGTCAAGGCCTGGTGCAGAACCTCCTTTAATACTCCTGACGATCTCAGTAATCTGCTCCCTGGTGACCGGCTGGAATCGGAAGACAGACTCCTGGCGGGGATCGGCCTCCACCAACACTGGAGGAGGGCCATCAGGGTGTAAAGCTGTAGCGAGCTCTACTCCAACCGATGCAAAATAGTTGTTGAATGAATTAGAAATAGATTTGACATGGTCGGTAGTGACAGCGTCGTCTGAATCTGCAAACTCCTGCACAGGGAAAGGTTGTTTTCTAACTGGGCGGCCGGAAACCTCATTCACAATTCCCCAAAAACGCTTTGCGTCACCATTAGCCTGTTCAATTTGGTCCCTGTAATAGTCATACTTGGCGCGCTTTATAAGTGAATGAACGGTATTCCTGTAAGTTATATAACGATGGCGCAATCGTAAATTAAATGGTTGTTTTTTAATCTTCCTGAATAATTTGTCACGTTCCCTAATTGAATTAATTAAACCTACTGTTATTCATGGCTTAATTTTCTTAGTCTTACAGTTTAGTTTGGCTGGGGACGTTGAGCTAGTCATAGCACGTGTGACAATATCTACCATTTTTGTAGCACAGGTGTCTAGGTCCATAGAATCATCTTGCACAGATTGCCAATTGACACATGATAATAAATTTTCAACTTTTACCCAATCAGTTTTTTCCTTAACAATTGACGTTTGTTCAGTAGTTAAGCTAAATTTTGAATTTAGAAACAAAAAAATTAGTCTGTGATCTGTAATTGATGAATTTAAAACAGCTGAATGGACATTGAATGACTTTAACAATCGTACAAAAATGTGGTCTATACATGATTGACTCTCAGGTCGAGTTACCTTATCGATGCAGGATACGTATCCTGCGTCATAGAGAACATCTAAATATTGGTCTTCTACTGAGTTATGATTTACATTCAATATATTAATGTTTATATCCCCTACTAAAATTCTTATCATACGATTGCCTTGATTACCGTTAATGTAGTTTTGAAGGCCATTTACAAAAGATATTAGATTTTAACTTGGGCTGCGGTATACACAGAGCAGCTCGCACGGTTGACCGGCCCACTGAAACGATAGCGACAAACAGCTGGCCACGCCTCCCAGACACAGCTGATGGCAAGTCACCGAGAACGCACTGTCTATGTACACCACTAACCCATCATTTCTGTTCAAGGGATTTTCTGATTTATGTACATTATAACCATCTATGTGTACCAACTGGGAATCGTCATTCAGCCATGCCTCACTCAATACTATACAATGAACTTTTACAGGAATACTATTTAACACTACTACCAATTGGTCAATATTTTTCGAATAACTTCGGATGTTTTGATGCATTACATTAAATTTTAAATAATTATTTGATACGTTGCAAATGTTCTTTATATCATCATAATCGTTAACTAAGTTACAATCAACAGTAAATTCATTGGCATCGTTATCAATATCGTTATCCATACTAACATAGAAACGGTGCTCGGCCTAATAAGATAAGAAAATGAAATGTTAGTCTGAGTGACAACCTAGAAAACAAATTTTTCCCTACAAATATGTCAACAAATATGTCCCTACACAATATTTTATATAACTTAATAAACTGTTTTACATTAGGCATAAAACAAAAGATTTTAAATTTTTTCGGCTAGAGTAAGCTTAGTACTACTGTACTGATAAACCTTACAATTGTTTTAATTATGTGTCCTAATGAAACAATTTCTGAAAGCCTATTTCAAAAATTTCATCATGTAATGTGACAGTTTTATTACTTTTTAATGGCTATGGGTGGATAGATAACTAACCATCACACAATTCATGTCGTTTGTGACAAATATGCTATAAGTGAGTTAAGTAGCGTAAAATTATGTTCAGCTAGTACATATGATGCTGAGAAACCATTAAGAAGCCATAACTTAACTTATCTTCGTATCTGCGTTATAGAACCTATGTGTAAAATTAAAATATTCGCTCAATAAAAAACAAAAAATAACCTAAAAATAAAATTGACGTTAACTTTGATTCATAATGTGTACTACTCTAACAGTAAAAATGTATCTGGAATGATATACTACTACGGTATTAGGTGTGAGTTATATCAGATACCGGTGATGTTGAGTCACGTTGTTTCTGCCGTTGATGTTCTGGTGGTGGTGATTGTTGTTGCTGCTGCTGCTGGTCGGAGTCGGAGGTGTCGGTCTGCGGAGGCGCCGGCTGCCACTGTCCCTTGAGAGCTGCGAGACTCCTCACCCTGACTGGTCGGTCCTTCTCCTTCCCCTTGACAAGTACACGGCCGTCCGTTACAGATTAAGGTAGTCGTTTCAGATGATCGATTGATATGATAGCCTCAATTGGAAATTAAGAAATTATGTTTTAAAGACATGTAATTTGTGTTTAGGAGGAGGATACCAGGCAGGAGTTGCGGGAGGAAGTGATACAAGCGATGAGTGGATTGACCTGGACAACTCTGATGAACAACAGGAGTCTGTCTTTATGTGAGTAAACATGTTAAATAACTATCCATAGTTGCAATTAAAAACTATAATGACATAGTTATACACAAAATCAAATATTTTAAAATATTGAAAAACAAGTAGGTAAGGAGTTTAAATTATAAATTATAATTCAAAATATTTAAATAGACACTATTGATAATTATTAACTATACATTTTCTTTAGGGCCTTTTTAAATTACTACACAATAATTAATAGTGTCAGTTAAATGCCACTTTACTTTGTATTGATATAGCCTCGGTACCCTATAGTTCGGTACCGATCGTCACATATATGCGACGCTATGGTCATTGCCGCAGATAGAGGTATACATTTTAATATTACACATCTTTGTCTGGGTGTCCCTTGGTTTACAGTACCCGACCACGGGCCAGTGATGCAGCAAAGTAAAAAACTGTTTTGCCAACTACCGTATGCCATCAATAATCATCATATCCACAGACCAAGTGACGCACATATAGGATATGCGACAGACATCTCTGTAGACCACTGTAGAGAATTCAGGGCCTTCATAAAGACCATTTCGAAGATATAAGGTTTTTAATAACATTGGGACACCAACGCAAATATGCAACGTCATTCTGTTTTAATGTGACCAGCTGTCGCATATATGCGACGGCAGTCCATTGGTAAAAACCAGCCGTCACATATGTGCGGTGATGGTCCATATGAATGAAAAATATAGTACTATTGCGGTATTTTAATTGCGGTAGCGAACAATGCTAACTTAGGCTAGTCTCCTAGAAAATCAGGCTATGGACACTTGATTATGTTGAATAATGAATATTATTTTATTATACATTAATTTCCAATCAACTTTCTCCTGTTGCTAAGAAGATCTTTTCCTCTGTGTAGATTTCGAGAGAAGGAGCGCCGCGGGGCAGAGACTTGGAGCATGAAGGTCCGCAAACAGTGGAGCAGACAGACAGCTGATGGTGACGGTAAGTTATAGAAGTGAAATGCTTTGTAAGGTAGTTATTTCATATTCACTCTAATTACCAAACCCCTTTGACAGCTTCTGACTAAAGTGTGATCGACTGAATCTAACTTGTCGGTCCTACATTTATGGGTTTTATTATGTCCTTTTAATCTTGTCTTGAATTTAAGTAGCTTATTATTTTTTTTTTACCTAATAATTTTTTTGTACTCTGTTGTTTGTGGGGAGAGTCGGATAACGTGGAATATGAAATAATGTTAATATATTAGGTAATCGACACCCTCCTGTAATAAAAAATATAATTTTGTACTTCATTATTTATTATTGTGGTTGATCTACAACACCAACATAACCGATCTCCACCTTCCGTCAAGGAGGGCACCATAATGGTCCTAATGGAATTTCCAACGAGGCCCTCTAGAAGATATTCACAGTGAAATCCCTGTTGATTCTGAGAATTCAGAAAGGCAATTCCAATTGACACCAACACCATATCAAAAGTACAAAGAGCAGTCTAGCATACCATTTCCCTCGCCGGGTGGAACTTGTTACGCTATATCTCAATAACGCTAGATATCAATTGGTTGAGGCTTACACAAGGCAGCATCAGGCTAAACTCAGGGTTGCTTTTGTATGCTGCTATGTGTCCAAACTGTCTGTCTTGGAGATTGATTGAGATTGATCATCCGTGTCAAACTCAAGGCAGCAGAGAGGAAGTCAATCTACCAGAGACAATAAGGCATACCTGTAGGGATGCTGCAAAACAGTAGAGCGATCCCACCCTTTCCAGATATGGCAGTAGAGCTAGGGTTGGCTATTTGCGGTTTCGACTATACTTACTGCCCGGAGGGGTTTCTGACGGGTCGTTCTTACGCTGTCTACGTTGTGGTATGCTTTGCCTGGAGACCACTCAACATATTGGTGAGCTGTTGTCTAAATTGGTTAGTGGGATCATGCTGGATAGAGAGGTATTGGTATACCTATTAAAAATGAACAGCATAGATTGGATTGAAGTCTAGGTCTTGTAAGAAATCTGGCAATAGTTCTGAGAAGTGCCACAAGTGTTCACATGGTAGTTTCCGAAGAGTAGAAGAAATTACATTAATTTGTTTACACAATTGATTCTTCTTTTATCACAGTTTGTTTGATATATATTTTTCAAAATATATAGTTCCATTTTGTTACTTATTTTAAAAACAAGTGGTCAGCAGTGTTTTTTAACCTTAACCAGCTTAGAGTGCAACTTATACGAGCAAATTAAACAAACCACACTCTGAGCAAGAAATCAGATCAGGCAGACATACCAGTAAACTTTTCCATGAGTTTTATTCTAGAACTAAATATCTATTACCTTTTTGACCACTCTTTGCTGTTAATAAAGTAATTAAGGCAGTCAGATAACAGTATTGACAGTATTAACATCCTTAGCCATTTTAACCAACAAAATGTTTTGCTTTAGAGGAATCAACCTCATGATTTTGGTCAGGACCGGTTTAAGCGGTAAGCAAAGTATGCAAACGCGTAGGGCACCAACCAAAAGGGGGCACCTAAGCGCTCTTCAATGTTCAGTTTTAAGGAAGGAGACTCTAGGGGTTTGAATATATAAATTTTATATATTCAATTGTAGAAGTTAAATATGTATTTACATCGCCAAATAGGACTGTAGGAGTATGGAGTTAGAAAAAATTGTATATCGTAAGGTGTGAGACCCTTACGTTCACTCCCACGACTTCATTTGTTATTGTTACAAAATAACAATAACCACAAATAATAACAAATGGACTCGTCCGTCAGCATGTCTCCGTCATCCACTTGGATTCGTCAGGCAGACGTTTACACGTTTCGGACGTCCTTAAGCATTAATGTTTACCCTAATTTTGTCATGTATCCAGAGATAATCCTTACTATCAGTGTCCTATTTATGGTACTTGCATAATTGGTGAACATCTCCCCTAACGGGGACATCATCATCGCCACCCGCGATTGCCACAAAATCGAGAACACCTCCCATGATTATCGTTGCCACCTGCGATCGCTGTGAAATAGTGAAAGTCTCTTGTGTAACAGGGACATCAATAGTTAATTGGCCAAATAATAGATTTTTGAAAATAAAAGTTCAATTTTTGTTCAAAAAAATTGTTTTAGTACAAAATGTTGCAAGCAAAAAAAGGCCACTGTGATTTTACCTAAACCTGGCACTGACTACCATAATGTATTTTATGGGGGGGGGGGGGGGGCTCCAGAATATTGTTTGCTTACAATGGAAAAATGTCTAGAACCGGTCCTGATTTTAGCACATTACACTCCCAGCCATCACACTCCTCTGTAGGGATGGTCTAACAAACTACCTAGTAGTGAGTGTGCTAATAAAATCTTATACCCCTCTCTCTCTCGCCCAATCACTCATTGCTCCAAAATCTTCATGAGTCACACAACAGTGAATTGCAAGAACTCGAGGACTTTCTACCATCATGCAATAATCATACACTTTAGGCTATCAGTGTTGAATAAGCAATAGACTCCTGGAAGTAGTTGAATATCATTTACACGTGTTTTAAGCAGTGCCTGATGGTTGTAAAAGACTGCAAATTAGCTTCATTGTGTGAATAGTTCGGACCAGTTAGGTTTGTAATTTATAGAACTTTCTAATTGTTCATTTAGTTGAATCCAGTGGTATAGTGGGGCAGGGATTTGTGGATATTTTTAATAGATCCTCTATACTAAAAGGGCGCCCAGGTTTTCTCTGAGACAATTGTGTACAGCAAAATTTATACATCTCTGAATTAAGCTCTGGTTTTACCTCTTTTGTTGTAATACAAAGTAGAGAGATTACTTCCCTACTCACGAGTTTCCAAGACGCTTTTTTATTTGTATGGTCTAATAAAGTCAGTTGTAAGATTAGATTTTGGGAGTATCCATAACATTCTCTTGGTTTTGATTACACTTCTAAAATATTGAATAGCTACAAAATAAATGACATTGATGAAAATTTGGAAATGTATAAAATAAAGAAATATTCAGTTTTGTTCTTAAGAAAAAGTGTCTACCTAAACTTTGCCAATTGAGCTTCCATGTGATATTCTGGGGTAACATTAACTTGGACATTAACAAAAGAGTTACCAATCCATCTTATACGGCCAGGACCAATGGACAAAGGTTGTGTTCATCAATGAGACAATATAAAGATCTAAAACGCTGGTGACACCTGTCAAGCTGTTTTCAATGTTTTTATTGGAATAAACACTCGGGGGGCCCGTGAGCCTTGACCAGAATTTTTCGGGAAATTTTACCGGGACACGGGCCCGCGATTGTGCGACAGGCTCAGCCACACGGGCCCCCTGTCATAACAATATTTATATGAGAATTACCATACTTTTTTATGACGGAACATTGTTAAAACCAGTAAAAGCACTAGGACAAGTAGTTTACAACAGCTTAACTGACACTTACTAGACCTATCGATATACATTCTCTACCAACCTAAGTAAAAGAAAAGAATTGCCATCAGTCATGCAGGTTGCATCAACTGTCTTCGTGGACTGTGTGAAGGCGCTATAATAGGGCCGTATTTAGAACCAATGTGGCCCCCGGCCTACCTAGGCCCCGATGGGTCACACCAGGGCCCTCTATGCTGATTCAACTAAATGAACTTTACCATTTTTTTACTATCAAATCGGCGAATTAACCTAGGTGGCTAGGGCACTAGCTAATAAATAATTCCATTCTTTTATTGACACTAAAGAAGGATTTTAACTTCATTTCTTACTACATACTGTATTAGGAAGCTGCACTTTAGATTTGTTTACTTCAAGTCAGGTAAAAAATGTTACTTACCTATAGGCCTTGAGCCCAACCAGGACGGTTCAAAATCGGTTTGCTTTGGAAACTGTTGATTTTTATTAATGTCGATTTTCGAGCTGAGCATAGACTGACCTACAATCTTGAAAGATCAAGCACAAAGTCAGAAAATCAAGCTCATCGAGCTGATTTTCTCAGTACTCAATACAAAAATGCCCAATTAAAAGTAAAAGCTTTTATATGTCCGCAAGGCTTACGCTCATGAAATTGAAAGATTAGTCCTACGCTTTTTCCACGACCGCGGATATCGACCAGAACATTTCCCCGCAGTTGACGATGACATTGTCTCCGCGGCCGCATGAGATGTTCAATATTTTGCCGCGATTACGAAGGCAATATTGACGTTTCTTTTCCCGCAAGAGATATATCCAGGATTTTGCCACGATTGAGGAAAAAATTATTTTCCCGTCACCACGGGTTGCGTAAGATATTAGGGATTGGGCCGTGAACGCGGGAGACAATGATGTTGTTATCTGATGATGTCCTAGGTTTGGTTGCAATCACGGTAGACTATGATAATGTGTGCATGACTATGGGAAGTATTCACAATTTAGCTGCGATCATGGAAGATGATGATGACGCCTTGATGCCTCGGGAGATGTCGTGCCAAGCTTAAGTGCAAGTTAAGGCAGTAATATGTGTGATAATGTTTTTAAAGGTTATTGGGAGAGGGGGGCCTGGCGAACAAACTTTCGGGGGGGCCCGCGGGTTGTTTTTATCGCCGCCACTGGCTTCTGTGTGCGATGCTTTAACTGCATGGTAGGCCACTCCCTTCCAACAAAACGTTTTGTCAAAAGACGTTTTGTCTGATCAGTGTGCAGCCGGCCTTAAGGTTGAATGAAACCTTTTCCCAAAACTGTCTATTTCTATATATTTCTTATAAAATACATTCTTTTAGAGGCTATATAGACCCCCTCTTTCTTCTTAAACTTAAGTCAGCTCTGAGGTCTTCTAATCCCCCTTTTGTCATCTGGCACTAAACAAAGTTTTATTTATGAAGATTGACAAATGTTTATACAATGGCTGTGTCTAAATTGAGGTCTCCATTAAGCTCCTGTTGTGGACAAGGGGGCTAGTTCAAATCTGAAACCAATGCCATGTTCTCTAACTTATCCACTAGTACTCTACCCACCCCATGTGACGATA